GGGGGGGGTTCCTGCAGGTCTCCACAAATGCATTTCGTTTCACTCATTTTCGGCCAGAACTCCAAGACCGGTCATTTCACGTGCTTGCCCTTTGTGTAAGGAAGTTCGTGTCCTAACTTCTGCCGGGATGGCCGGAGGCCAGCTGGCTGCTCTGCGTCACCGAACGAGGGTGGCATCAGGCCCTCCGAGAGTCGGGGTCCTGCGTCTTCTTGGGCCATGGGCACGGGGTGGGAGCAGAACCGGACCCTGTGCGGAGCCAGCTGGGTGGGGACCGGGGAGCTGTGGGGTTTTAGCCAGCAGATGGGCCAGCACGTTTTGCCCTCAGTTCTTAGCCACACTTTAATGGAGCGATTCGAACACGTGTCTGGCTGCGTCTCCTAAGAACAGAAAAGAAAAATGGCGTGAGAAGTCCAGAGAGGAGTAGGAAAGGCAGGCTGACCCTCAGAGCCAGGTCTCGGCCCACATTCCGTTCTACCCGCGGCTGGAACGGGACGAGCGGGGACAGGGGCCCTGGGCCTGTGCTGCCTCGTGCGAAGTGGACCCGCCCTCAGCTCCTGCGGTCTCCCCGCTTCCAGAAGGAAACCTGAGCAGGACAGGACTGTGTTACTCACCCGAGCACTGACACAGGCGTTTGCTGGTCGGTTGGGACATTTGGGCTTTTACTTAGTGGGGACGGACAGCGTACTCACGTCCTCAGCCCAGTGTGCTGAATTTCCAAGTGCTTTCACAAGAGACTGCTGGAAGCCACTTGGGAGGCCCCTGCTCTTTCCCCTCGGCCAGTCTTAGTTGTTGGGAGAGCAGCTCTCTTCCCTCCTTGCCAGCCGTGTGCCGTGCTCTCTGGGGTAATCCAGCCTCCGTGGGATGTGTGCCCGCCTCTCGGCATCCAGCTTGGCGTCTCAGGGAAAACACCACTAGCGCCGGGCCGGCCCAGGGTGTGGGGCTCCGTTTTCGGCCCGCGAAGCTTCCGCGGGGCTGGGAGAGCATCACAAAGGAGGCTCCTGGCTGGCCGCCTCTCGGGGAGACGCTCTTCTCATTTCTGCCGCCCCCTGGCTCACAGCCTTCCCCCGTGTGCATTTTCCTGAGCTTGTTTTCTCCAGATCTGGGGTTTGAAGGCCTGACTGACCCTGCTGCCTCCCACCCTCAGTTTCTTGCCCAGTTGAAGCTCATGGACTACAGCCTGCTGGTGGGAATCCATGATGTGGAGCGAGCCGAGCAGGAGGAGGTGGAGTGTGAGGAGAACGACGGGGAAGAGGAGGGGGAGAGCGACGGCACCCACCCCGTGGGAACCCCTCCGGACAGTCCTGGAAACACGCTCAACAGCTCACCGCCTTTGGCCCCGGGGGAGTTTGATCCGAACATTGACGTTTATGGGATTAAATGCCATGAAAGTAAGCTGAGCTCTTACCGCCTCTTTTTATCTATGAAGTGATTTGATTTTTGCATTGTTTCCCACCAGTAATCATAATCCCGGTTAAAAGTCTGCTGCCCTCCAAGGCTTATTCTCCAGAGCCTCAGTAGCTGACTCAGGGACACGAGAATGTTAAGGGTAACTCATCTCTGGTTTTGAAACGGGATGTGATCGGGCCCTTGAATTTTGTGATGTTGGAATGGCGTGAAGCCACAAACTATGTAACACCCACGTACCCACACTTAGCTGCGGACAGATAACATATAGAAGAAACGTTTTTGAAATTTTTATTCTTCGCCATCTCTTACGTGGATCCGAAATGTCAGGAATCCATCCAGAGCTAGGCACACACGAGGTCCCTAGTGGGCCTCACGCGGGAGGGAGGCTCATGCGGACGCCCTGGAGGGCCGGCGTTTCATCGCTACCGGCCCTTCCCCTTTCGGGAGCGCTGAAGCTGGCCCAGGGCGTGGGATGAGGGCGTCTGGTCTGCTGTTGTGTCCGTCTGTCCTCTGCTGTGCCCCCTGGCCGCCCATTAAGGGGTCTCTGTGGCCCTCTTGTCTAAGTGAGCCCAATCTTAATCCTCCAAATCTGGGTGACTGGATATTTGAAGGAACATCACCTTCTACCTTAGCTACTGAGACATGAGAAAACCAAGATGATTTGGAGGTAGGATAAAAACAGGCCTCTTATTTTTTGAGTAATAAAAATTGTGGTTCATCATTGTTTAAGAAAAAAAAAAAAAGATGTGGCATATCAGCCAAGTGAGCTTGAGTTGTTATTTTGCTCCCCAAAATTTTCTTCAGTGCAGAAAATGAGATGTAGTCAAATGTACTTTTCTTATTGTTTATAATTAAAACAGCCTATTTGTGGAAATACGTGGAAGATGGATCTTAGAGATGATTAATGCCTTTCTGCAGTTCTGATGCTAGACTCAGAATTACGAACGGTTGTAAGGACAGGCACACCTCAAAGGTGTTGCAGGGTCAGTTCTAGACCACCACCACCACGTGAGTCAGATGAATGTTCTGGTTTCCTGGTACATATGGAAGTTATGTTTACACTGCTGTATAGTCTCTTAAGTGTGCAATAGCATTATATCTTTAAAAAACAATGTACGTATCTTATTTTAAAAATACTTTATTGCTAAAATATACTGACCATCATCTGAGCTTTCAGTGAGTTGTGATCACTGATCACAGATCACCATGCAAATACAATAATGAAAAAGTTTAAACTATTGCTAGGATTACCAGAATGTGACGGAGACACGAAGTGAGCAAATGCCATTGGGAAAATGGTGCCAGCAGACTTGCTTGACACAGGGTTGCCATAAACCTTCAATCTCTGGAAAATGCAGTATGTGCAAAGCGCCGTAAAGCAAGGCGCGCCTGTAGTTAACGGTAGACTAGGAGTAAGGAGCGTAATTCCATCTACCTGTTGTATGAGCATCTCTCTTTACACCAAAGCAATCCATAATCGTTAAAGAAAATGCAGATTGACAAAAATTAAAAACCATCTCCGCCTTGGACCTCTACTGGTAACATCCTAGGGTGATACTTTTTTACTTTTTGAATTGAGAAAGAATTGGGGAAAGTTAAGCTGTTTAACAGGGATATGCAGGAGTTACGTGGATGCTTTTTCCAAATTACTATTTTCTTTATCAGTTAACTTTTTTTGTGTTTGGGGATAGCTGATACACAGTGTTAACGTTAACTTCCGGTGGACAACACAGTGATTCTGCCGTGCCCGCACCTGCCCACCTCTCAGCCCTGGTGCCGAGTCACTGGTGTGTTCCCTCCGCTGTGCCTTTCTGCTCCGTGACTTGTTCCTCCCATAACCGGAAGCCGGTCTCTCCCAGTCCCCTCACACAGTCTGCCCACCTCTCTACTCCATAAAACATGGAGGAGGGAGTAAAAGTTTTTTTTTTTAGAATGTGTTTGAACTTACATGGACATGGCCTTAGTTTTCAGACTCCTCCAAACCCTGTTCTGTCCTGAGTCCCTCACCCCCAGGACGTGCCTCTCCAGGTGGCGTCATTTGTCCCACAATCACTGCTCTCTCTCATCCCTTTACAGACTCGCCCAGGAAAGAGGTGTACTTTATGGCAATTATTGACATTTTGACTCATTATGATGCAAAAAAGAAAGCTGCCCACGCTGCAAAAACTGTTAAACATGGCGTAAGTATCTCCACTTTGTTTCCTTCTCTGCTCTTGGGCCCTTGTTGCAGTCTGGAGTGCGGGGACCAGCTGTGGTTGCCTCCCTCTCACTGAGCTGTCCAGAGTCTCTCAGGGGTTCTTGTTACCTTGGGGGGGGGGTCATGTTCCGAGTGCGAGATTTGGAGCCGGCAAATGCCAACAGCTAATACCAGCTCCCACCACGACTCCCTACGCTTTGGGCACTTCAACTCAGCGGCCAGTCTTTTTCCACACTGGGGTATTAGCACACACGTGCATCTCTAGAATATTGTGCGAATTCGTTTTTGTTTGAAAAATGCTTCAAAGACAAAAGTGAAGATAACTAAGTGTTTTAAGATGAATTCTCAACACTGTAAAATGTTCAGAACTGAAGCACTATTCTGTGCTTCAGACACTTTCCAGATATGCAGTATTATCTTTCTTTTTGCACAGCGAATTGTGTATTTTTTATTACAGAAAGCTTTTGGGTGCAAGATCAAAGTTTAATAACATAAATTCCTCACCTTTATTGTTCTTGCTCTAAATTATCACTATTCTAGGCATATGTTGACTTATTGAATCCCCATGACAAGCCTGTATCCCTGTTTATCAGTTGAAGAAACTGAGGAAGAAAGCGTAAATGGTAACTTGTCAGGGTCACGGCACTAGAAAGTGGTAGAAATGGGACTGCTCCCCAGGACCTAGCCCAGCCCCTTGCTCTGTGCCAGTCCCGGCCCCATGCCCTACCAGCAAATCCCACCTGCCTGGCTGAACCTCCCAGGTGGTGAGTATCCATTATGCTTGTATCGTAGAGATTCATTGTGGCTTTCCAGGTGTTGCTAAAAAAGCTGCAGACCCCATCCCATAGAGACAGACTCGTGTCTTGGCTTGTTCACACCGGAAGGAGCAGTAGTGTGTACAACCAGCCAGGATACACCAGACATCAGCCTCTATTAAAGGCTCTTTTTCTGTATTTTACAATCAAACAGGCTAGGCTGCCCTCCTAGCAAGGGAACCAGCCCAAAACCATATTCTGTTTGCCAAAGAAACATTTCAGTTGCACCATCAGCTACTACTTACGGTATTCCAACCGCGTGCAAAGCATGACCAAGACCTCCCCCGGCCCAGTGAAAGTGCCAGAACTCCTGCGTCGGTGAGAGGAGGGCACCCGGCGGCTCTCACCTGCTGGCATCGCAGCCTCCCGCATGGCATTTGTGAAGTGCGTGCGTGCCAGACGCACCGTCCCCTTCCCCGATTCTGAGTCCGGGCCAAGAAGCTGGGGGAGGTCCCTCAACGGCTCTGTAGTCATTCCGATGCTCACCTCTGATGGCGAACCACGGGCATACTACAGAGACAGAACTGGCTCAGAACCCCGATTTCAGCTTTCCCGGCCGTGTAACCTCGAGAGCTTCAGGTCCCCTCACTAAGAAGGGAGCCCCACTGCCTTGCTGAAGGGGTCTTGTGGAGGAGACGTGAGGCGACCAGGCCGAGCGCCGGGGAGGTGCTCCGTGTTCGTTCCCCTCTTTCCCCATTCTCACCGTAACATCACACGCCATGTGAAACTGGAAATTTGCCGTGGCAAACGTGGCTCCACTCGAGTCTCCACTGGAAGGCACCAGCCCTGCTCCGTCATACACCACATGGCCTGAAACTGTGTACAGTTTGCATCTGCAGGAGCAAGACATTACTCTTAGCAAAGGAATGCCGTGCTGAGCTGCTGGGAACTATTCTCTGCCTTCGAGGCCCGGGCTCGTCCGTGGAGATCCCGGCAGCCCAGGCCAGGCATGGAAATTACAGGTTCCCCAGTGACTATGGGTGTCTAAAAATAGCACCTGGTGACTTAGTAAAACCGGTCTTGCCCTTTGCAGCTCAGGAAACTGGCTGGTAACTCCAGACCTCGAGTCTGGTCGCCAGCATCGCCTCTGGTAATAGGAAGTCCCCCACTGAGCCTCCTCGAGGGGCCCCTGCTTCCTTGCTCTGAGCGGGTCACTGTGAAGGGGAACAATGGCACTGCTGTGCCCTGCTGGGGGAGGTGCGATCAGCAGCCTCACGTCCCACCTGGTTACGGTGCCAGTTGACACAGACCCTGCTGCTGCTGTCACCCCTCTCTTTTGAGCACTCAGCCACTTACCCGGGTCCTGGAAGAGAAACGCAATCCTAGGTCATTGTCGGTGGAATTCCCCTTCAGCCAAATGTTGCTGTTTGTGTCATTCTCAAGGTATCTCCAATCTGTTCTCCTGAAAAACAAACATTGATTACATGGCTTCCGAATGTAGGCCACACGGAGTCCACTGTTTGAAAGGAACATCCCAGACGTGGCTAGTTCAAGGTGTTTTTTTCAGTTGCTACAGTCACGGTATGTGTGATAACAGCATCTGTGGTTCAGCCTCTCTGCCTCGTTTTCACACAGATCCTAAGAACCTGGACCATTCAGATATTCAGATGCAACATCCAAGATAGAATTCTGAGTTCTGTTTTAAGAACGGGGCACAGATTATTATTATTAGCTTTATGTTTAGCTGCAATTGAAAAAAATGCTCTACATACTGAGTAGTGATTATATCGATATTCCTCTCCTTTCCATCTGCCTAGGCTGGTGCAGAGATCTCGACCGTGAACCCAGAACAGTATTCAAAGCGCTTTTTGGACTTTATTGGCCACATCTTGACGTAACCTCCCACATGACCTTGGACGGACATGAGCATGGGAAGGACAGAGGTGGCTTCGGCGTAAGAAAAATGAAAACCAAACTCAGTGAAGCACACCTCCTCGTTTACATCTTCGGGCCAAGATGACTGATTTGGAGGCTACTCGCTTTAACAGCTACCTGATATTTCCCAGCATCGTTCTAGCTATTTCTGACACGTGTGTGTGTGTGTGTGTGTGTGTGTGTGCGTGTCTTAAAAATTAATTAATGAAAACTGATCAGCTTCAGTCAGGGTGTGTTTGGGCAACAACCCTCTGATTCCAGCTGTGGACGAATGAATGAATGAATGAGCACATGCGGGGGGAGGGGATGAAGGAAATGCATGTCAGACCAACCATGTTGGCATCACACGATAAACTGTGGATCAGTTTATTTTTTGGAGTTGAAAGATGTGACAGTATTCATAATAATAATGAAGATAATAATAATGATAATAATGATGGTGATTAAAAGAAAAAACTTACTGCGAATGTTACATTTCTACCACGCACGCTGACGCTCCTTAACAGCTGTGCCCCAGGCCCCTGGCACCAGGCGGGGGCGTGCCCTGCTTCAGGGTTCCGCCTCCACACGGTGTCCGGCGGGGGGCCCCCCGGGGTCCGGGAACAAATGCCCCTCCTCCAGCAAGAAGCTGATGCCCCTAGTGACTCTTACCTGTACATTTTTCACCTCAGTAAGTATGTCCAGGAAAACTGCTTACTTCTCTTTTCTTGCCTGGAGCTTCTTCACTGTTACACTCTTATGTTGCAATATAGGAATTTATGCTACAAAATAAAAATAAAGCTTACCTGAAAAGTGCATAGTTTCGGGCAATGGTATCTACATCTCCTACTGTGGGAAGGTGAGCAAAGCATTAGAACTCTGAACTCTCCTGTTAACGATGGATGGCAGATCTAAATTAGAAGATGTTTATGTTTGACCATTGTTTAAACAGTGGTATTTTGTTATGAATTATCCCTTTAACTGAAACCCTCAATTTTACTGTTTACATTATTAGGAAAACAGGGATATTTTTGAATCTAAAAATTTAATGTACAGCATGTGATTTTTGAAGTTTACATGTAAAGTCATTTTACAGTGTAGGTGAAATAATGTTTGTCATATTTTGAAATGTACCCTGCAGTCATGTTTTTGGGTGAGTGTTTTATTCAAAGTACACGGTAGGCAGTCTTCTACAATGGAAGTAAAAGGTGGTTTTGTTTCCTCCAGATGTACATTTATCAACCCGATGATTTTTTTTTTTTTAATGTTTAACCCAAATCTGGTTATGTAAGTTCATTGCCCTAAACTGTGCTGTGTTTTAATCAGTTTATAAATTTTCAACATCGATCATGTATTTACCAACTTTCTGGCATTTTCTGAAAGGCGTCAAGCTAAAATATTAGACTTGCGTAGAGTAGGTTATCAACTTATACACTGTGCTAAAGCTGTGCCTTTGAAATTCTTTGTTTGAAACATGAGATGATTTTTGTAGGCAGTTTCAGAAAAGAAAAAAAAAAAAAAAATCCACCCTCCG